AAGAACTCAATGAAGTTGGCCGCAACTGTATCAATCGTACCTAAGATGTTGTTAGTTCTGGCGACCAAAAAGCCAACATCAGAGAGATTAGCATACCCATGTATGGCAGGATGCTAGTAGCCAGGCATTTTACAGCAGCCACTCTTTTTTCAATGAGTTCTTCTTTCCCGGTGTAACGAAGTAGCTCAGTGACAATGTCTTCCTGGAGATCACTTTGTCCTTCTAGCTGTTTGAACACCGCACCGAGAGCCAAGATTTGGCCGCGACCAGTTGGCATTCTCCATGACGTATGAAGATGGGAGAACCAAATTCGGACCGTTTCTTCTCGCTTCGCTCTCGACAGAAGAGGGAATAATTGCGACAAAGCAGTTGAAGACGTTTCGATAGAGGTATCATCACTCCGGGATGCACAAATGGATAAGATTTGGAGTGTGCGATCGAGAAGCTTTTCGCAAGGATGCGCTAGTTTCATCGTGATGGTAGATCGGGACAGAGAGGAAATTAAGCACGATGATGCCTCTGCTGTCAGCTCAGGACGTGACGTCTGGAATGTCAAGTCGTCGTCTGTAGGACCTGATGAAGAACCGAAGATCTCCCAGGCATTGGCCACTCGAGAGGACACCTCCTTAGCTTCCTGGGTATCTCTTGTCTCAACCGAAGTCTCCCAGTGAGAAGTGAACGCATCCACTGTAGCAGCAATCGACAACAGACATCCGTGCCGTGATTCAACATCACTGCGAGATGTGCTAGAGAACCTCTGCAGTAAACGATCCAGGACTAACTGCATAGTCCTGTATACCTCCTGGGTGCTCAGTGTTCCAATAGATTTCGCCGCGTGTCTTCTAGATTCCGCATCTGGCGAGCCAATGCCTCTCCAACCCATCAAAGCATCCAGCAGAGGACTCCAGTAGATCTGATCTAGAGACGCCGTTGCTTTCGCAACATCTATCATAGCGCGAGAGCGACGAGCGACAGCATGATAGTCGACCACCTGCACAAGCGGAATGCCTTCGGCGATGGTATTGGGATGACGGCCAATCAATTCCTGCAGAGCAGCAGAAGAGCCGCGACGGATGTTCCCAGATGGATCAACACAAGCCGCACAGACAAGCTCCACAGCCAGTTTCTGCAGGACATCAACCTCTTTCTGACCGGCTGGTGAGGCCACTATCTGTGATTGAAGTGCCAGGAGCTCTGGAGTCGTATACTTCCGGGACAAAGCCCATACACCAAAGCAGGCAGCGTCTCGCACACCAGTGCCCACAGAACTACCAGTAGATGATCTCTGCTCAAAGCATAAACCAGATACAAGGGACTGGAGGATCTCTGGAAGCTGGTGAATTGGAGGTGCACGGCGGAAAAGCAAATGTGATAATGTCAGGATTAGTCCTTGCCATCGTTGGGCATCAACAGCGCTGAGATTGCGTTTGAGAGTGTGAGTTCCAAATTTCCGGGCCTCAAACGGTGTCATCAGAGAACCATCGTCCTTCTCATAGAGGATGTTTTCTCCAAGCGATCCAATGACCGCCTCGATGACTTCAGTCCCCATTTCTGGATCCAGTTTCAAGGTGATGATGCTGAGTGCTTTACTCGCCGCAAATCGCACAGGAGTATCTTTGTCGGCCAGGGAGACCAAGAAATGATCAATCGCATCTTCCAAAACGGTAGATAACACATCATCCGTAATGCGGCCATCCCCTCGCTCACTCAGAGACAAAGCCATGACTGTGATATTGCGAAGAATCTTGACGACAATCTTCCTAGCCAAAGCCGAAGCTTGGATAGTTGCGGATATCGCAGACTGTCCTTGGGATACACTGAGGGTCTGATGGAAGATATAATTTATCAAAGGAGCAAGATCGTCCACATGGCCTGATGCGCTCAGACGGGCAATGAACGTGAGAACACCAATGCAAGCATAGACAGAGGGCGGCTCAACCCCATCCGAGGGCTGGATAGTCGCAAACGCCCACTTAGTGAGACCGGTGAGAACCCCAAGGGCTTGCATATCTCCACGCAACGACAATCGAGCCAAGAGAGCCGTCGCAGCCTCTCGTTCTTTACCGGATGCACTGATATAATGCAACGACAAAGAAAGAAGAGATCTCGCAACCATCGGCATCTCAGCAGGCAACCAGTTCAGATGTTGTAAATTGTCATAAGGCACGGGGATATCATCCGACGACAGCGAAGAAAGGTCAAACGGAGCAAGCAGAAGATGAGAAAGCCAGACGAGCATCATATAACGCTCTTCCCAAATCAACCGTTGCGGCTCAGAGTCAATAAATTCCTCAGTGTTTGACGGCTGCACATAATCCCATTCAATAAAAGCCCGCAGCATCGATTCAAGGTATTTAGGCTCATTGTTTAGAAACCTGCTGATAACCTTGACGCCGCGAACTTTGCAGAATGTATACAAGAGTCTGCAGATAGCTCTTGGGAGCGGATACAGAGCTCCAACCTGAGATCGGCGCGGTGAAATAGTGCCATACTGGCCGCGATGCTTTATCAGGTATGCCAGGAAAGCGTCCACTAAAGGGGACAGCAGCTTCTGCAAGTGAGGATCTAGGAGTTGAGGCCACTCTTGGAACGGCTCAAGCTGCAAGAAGTATCAGTAAATATGCAACAGGGATTGATAGAGGTTTATTTCGTGGTTAGGGGATCTTACAAGGCTGACAAGTTTCTCTGTCTTGGTTACTTGCGCCCATTTGCGTGGGGTGCGGAGGGGTGTTCCATTTTGTGATCTCCACAAGAGCGAAGGGAGCTTTGCTGAAAACTCGGCCACTAAATCGCCGGATGCGCGTTGGAGCTTTACGTCTCGATCCTCGGCGGCATCCATCGTGGGCGATTGGAGTGGTGCAGCTGTTTCTGAAGCGTGCGTGTTGGGAATAGCGTCAACAGTGGGCCGGGTCACATGACAATGTCAAGTATACAAACAGCACAGTTTAGGAACAACGTCGACAAGACAGTTGAGTTCATTGTACTAAAACATTTTGCCGCTAGGCACTTTTCATTGGGGTATTTCAAGGCTACGTTATCATGATCACATCCCTTATGCCCATGCTTGATACTTGTCATTCCATACGCTCCACCGCTTCTCTGGATGCCTTCGCCCAGTCAGCCATCTTCCAGAAGTAAAAGCCCTCGATCGCCACAATGATTGACTGTCCAATTAAAATTCCACACCAGAGCCCAAAGATGCTCCAATTCAACCAAAATGCAAAAACGATGCCCAATGGCAATCCTACGAGGTAATAGATTGACAGTTGCACATAGCTGCCCAAATCCGGTCGCCCAACAGCGCGCAGCAAGCTGTTCAGAGAGGTAGCCACGGCATCCGGAATTTGAACCACAGCACCCAACGGAAGCAGGAAATAGATCAAATGCCAAACTTCGCCAATATCACTGAACAGGCCAGGGATCACTCCTCGCAGAGCGAGGACTACAAGCATATTCGCCAAACCAGCACCAAGGGAGGCGAAAACCAAAACTTGAGCTGCTCTTGTCGCACGGTTGATAAGACCGGATCCTACCAGATAAGCTATATGCGTACCACCAGCGATAGCGATGGAAAAGGAGACTTGGAATGCGAAGTCGGATAGTGTTGAGAGGGCAGCTTGGGCAGCGAGTTCAGTTGGGCCCAGTTGAGAGGAAATGAGAGTCATGAATTCCCAAGCGAGGACCTCAGCTTCAATCATCAACCAACTTGGGATGGCGAGGTTCAACATTGGACCCCAGCCGCGCCAGACTTCGGCAGAGATAGGGTGCCAGCACTCTGATCCTTTAATGAAGATGACGTAGAGTGCGAGGAAGATTGGAAGAAGACTGTTAGCAATAGCGACTGCAATTGGGGCCCCGATGAAGCCCCACTGGAGTTTCTGGAGAAGAACAGTTAGTAAAAGGACTAGAGGAGTAATATAGCACCACGTACCCAAACAAACAGCCAGCCCATGAAAATGTTGAGCGTAGAGCAGACCAAAAGAACCACCAGACTAGCACTGAATAAGCCCTGCGCTTGGAAGAACCGCTTTCCGGACTCAAAGCAGGCATAGCCAGGAGCTCCTGCGATGGCGATTTTGAGATACAATCCCGCGAGAACAGCAGTTTCGTGAGATTCAGCTGGGAGAATCAACATAAAGATACGATCGGCATTGTACCATATGGCTCCGATTGGGATCGTGAGGACGAGCATGAAGAGGGTCAGTCGTTGAACATGCAGGCCGACCATTCTAGGGTTTCCCGAGCCATATGCCTGCGGGCATAAAGTATCAAGACATGTTGCAAGACCTTGGAAGACGAAGTATCCGGTGATTTGGGCGGTCATGTTGGCCAAGCTCACAGCCCCGATTTCCCGTTTCCCCAGATGGCCCACCATGAAAATGCTGGATCCGGTCAATGCATGTTGAAGCAAGAGCGCAACCATCAGCGGAGCGGTGTATCGCGAGATAATCTTCAATTCTTGCTGCCATCCTGACTTTTTCGCCCTGTCCGCTGCTTCAGGGTCGACGTCATGCAACAAGGGGGAGGATTCTGTGGCCCTATGCTGGTTTTCCGAGACCATCGTGGAAGAGTTTTTAGGGCGATCTCCGTGCTTTCCGTTCAACACAATATGTTCCCTTCAACCCCGAACGATGGTTCCTCGAGAGTATTAAGGGGAGGTCGAAGAAGAGAAAAACCAGTTCTCATTTGCATGAGATGGACGACCGAAATAACAAATCAATCCTTGCATCCCGGTCGCATCGTGGAACCGATCGCCCCATAGCAGCAACGTGCTCCACTGCCGTGCAGCCCCGGTAGACCTATCATCCACGCAGGCAAACACTAACACTTAGCCTAAGCACGCCATTCTTCGGCATTTGAATGCGCTAAATGGCGACATTCCAATTGACATAGAGTACAAGCCAAATCATGAAAGATATTGGGTAGTGAACCTGGGACTGCTGTCGCATGGCAGACGCAGTCAAGGAAGCTGAGATCCCCAGACTGCCCCGGGAACCACCTTACTGGTCCCGATCTGAGAAATAGCCAGAATCTCCATATGGATCAGGGCATTGCGCCACCCACGCGGATTTGTAGTTGCTAGCCAGCTTGACCATCGTATTCCTGACATGTCCAATGAGGATTGCGAGAAACATGGCACCCCAGACATCGCGATTCATATCTGAAAGGTCCATGTACATGAGAAGGTTGATTTCCGAAGAGTCTTCTTTGCCTAGAGGCTTAGCACTTTTGTCTTCAGACGGTGGATTGGCGTCTGAAGGCTGAGGGGTGGTGTCAAGAGTGACCACAGAAACAATAGGCCCAGTGACAAAGAAACCTATTAGAGTTGGCCAGAATTTGTCGCGGGCTGGCGTGAGAAGGACATATCTCTTGAAGTCATTCGCTCTGATCTGCAGCTTCTTGTAGAACTTGGTGATGGCTTCCTGCGAGTCTTCTTTGTCCGTTTTGGTGTAAACGACGTGCATAGGGATATTGCAAGGTTCTACCACGAGTCCAGCATCTGTCACTGCCCAGCGAAGGTACTTCTCGATTGTCTTCTTGATGAAAGGCTCAGGCGGGGAACGAAGGACATTGCAGAAATCTCTCACATGGCCGCAAACCTGCAATAGTCCCTGGAACGCTCGGATTGCATAGAACTCGGAGCTTTTGTGAGCCCCAAGGACAAAATCGCCTTCTTCGTGCTTGTCATTATCCGCGGCAAAGAACAACTTCTCCGGCAAGGTCATGAAATCCTTTTGCCAGTGTCGAGGTATCGAGGCCTTCTTGGAACAAGCATGAAGCTGAGCGGCAAGTGCTTGTTCCTGTGGTCCCAAGTCAGGATTGATAGGAAGATTTTCTGGCTCAAGTTGAGCCTTTCCTCTCCTCTTGGGATGAATGTCCAGGAGTTGATTGCGTTCATACTTCGGAACGAAAGAAATATCGTCCTCACTGTCATGGTCAGTGTATTCCGTGTCTTCTGAACCCTTCTTCCTCCTTTTGTTGTTCTTGCGTCGAGGGGCAGGATCCCTGAATGAAGGGTCAAGAGGATTTTTCTTCCCACGCTTCGGGGTTGGTGATGGTGGCGGGTCCTCCTCGCTTGAGACGGGAGAGGAGGACTCACTCGGAGTGAAGTTGCTATAATCCGAGTCACTGAGGTCTGCTTCTGTATCGCCGACTGTGTCGACGTCGAGGTCCTCAGATCGCTTGCGCTTCTTGTCGAGGCCCGAGAAGTCAAGTTGCTTGACTCGCTTAATTGGTTTCTCAGGCTTCAGGTCGTCGTCGGTTGGCGAGGTCCGTTTCTGAACTCGCTCAGCTGGTGGCTCAGGTTCCGTATCCTCGACTGACGAAGTCCGTTCCTGGGCAGAGGTAACCTGTTATGAAAGTGAGCGATTGGCACATGAGGGTAGGGAGGCGAGGAAGGAGAGGTAAGTGAGTTAAAAGTGAAAGAAAGATGACGGAATAAAAGCATCAAACTTACCAGTTTCCCTTCATTATCAAACTCAACCATGGTCGAAGGCACAGTTGCCAGGGAAGAGGAGCTTTCTGGCTCCATGAGATGGCTTAGGGTTGGAGAAGGCGTGTGGGGAGAAACCGCCGCCAGGTGTAGCAAGGTTAGTGATGCAAGAGAAGGAGAAGAAGGGGAGGGCGAAGAAGCGGGAGAATGATAGGCAGAAGCAGGAGAAGGTAGAGTAATAGGGTCAGGGCCGTAAACAGGCGTATGATGAAAGATCCGGAAGTTATGATCGACCCGTTCAATAGGAGTCGCGTCTTCCCACAAGAAACGTCTGATTTCAGGATCGTGAGTCCAAAGTTCTCCCCAGCACGATGGGAGAGATCCGGTTTCCGAGCTTCCAGGAAAGTCGATGTGGTAGTTGATATTGTCAACTTCTGGCCGGCTGTTGTTGACAGGGGACTCGCCCAGAGACTCGGTCAGCTGCCTGGTCCATCGTTCGACGCGGGCTCGATTGAATCGCAGTTTTGGTCTGGGCGTGCGCGGAGTTTCTTTGTTGCCCGAAGACGAGGTCTCTTTGTAGTTCGAAGACGATGCCTCTTTGTAGTTCGAAGACGATCCCTTCTTGTGGACCGGGGGTGGGCTCTCTTTGTTGCTCGAGGGCACGGTATTCACGGGACTCAGGACTCGAGGGCGTCGGCGAAGCAGGCGCTTGAGTCGTGATATTACGAACATTTTGACAAAGGAAGTCTATTTTGAGAACAAAGAACGGAAGTTGGAAGGGCAGTGGAGTAAACACGAGAACGTGTAGAAGAAAAGAGAGATGAGAAAAGAGATGGAACGAAAGCATGGAGAAAAAGTAAATAAAAGTGGTGGAAAGATGGGGAGTTGAGGGAGGAGCTATGCTTTCTGTTTTGTTTGGAACAAGTAAACAGAGTTGAACTACAAACTATATGAACACATCGCAGTCAGGATGGATATCGTATTTGCATCTCCATACGTGCAGCCGTTAGAACATAATATGCATAAAGCGCGGCTCCAGGTCCTACACCATCTTCATAGATCTTCAACATCATCATTTCTCATACTCCTTGGACTGAAACTCCTCGAAGTCCACCCCCCCTCCTTTTTGGACATTGAGTGCCCGACATAAAATAGAGTCATAAACCCGACCAGTCGGAAAAGAAACACATTGGAACTGAAAAATAACTTGACAGAAAAGGAAAGAAAGAATAGAGCAAGCAATTTAGGTAGGCATGGAAAGGAAAATTGACGCAAGCAACCTGGAGGTTTCATTAGCCATGGTATCCGAACAAAGCATATCAAGCGGACCGGCGTCCACACCGGCACTTAAAACGAAACTGCAATTGGGTATGTTGGAGCAATTTGAAGAGCAAGAAGTGCTGGGAAGGGCGGGTGACCCGCGGCGCCCTGAAGAAACCGGCCGTGTCGGCATTAAACCCCTCCATCAACGAATCTTGACAGGGATCCAAGTGAACAATAATCATAGTGGTCATGACCAGATCAGGCAAAGTCGGCAGTGTAGGAGAAGCCACGGAACTCTTCCTGCATGGCTTGGGAAAGCACTAAATTAAACAGTCAGTTATGGCTCATATTCAGATCAAAGAAGAGAAGTCTTACCAGATTGCACAGGTGTCAAGACGGGAGTCACACTAGTGAACTCCTGGTCGAAGTTGCTGGTATCAGTGGGGCTGCTGATTGTGGGGATGAACGGCGGAGGGACCCGCTTGTGGTAGATGTCATCCCAGTTGATGTTGCGGAAGAAAGCATGGGACATGACTTCCTGGGCATCAGTGGGACCAGAACCGAGACGCAACTCAGGCTCGCGAGTCAACAGCTTCTGGAGGATCGACACGGAGTCACGGGGCATGTGGATGGGATAGAGAGGCTCGTCAGCGAGAATGGCATCGTAGATCTCATCTTCATCTTCACCGCGGAACGGAGATTGCTGCAAGAGCATCTGGTAGATGAGGACACCGAATGCCCACCAATCGACAGCCCGTCCATACTTCTTGTCCAGTAGAATCTAGAAAAGGTCAGTTGATCGGTTCTTAAAGACACTGAGTTCGGTAATACGTACCTCGGGACCCATGAATTCGGGAGTACCACAGAACGTGCTGGTCGTGCAACCGTACCACATGTTCTCCTTACAGAGACCATAATCAGCAATCTTAATGTGACCGTCCAGGGTCAGAAGAATGTTGTCAAGCTTCAAGTCACGGTAAATGACACCGTTCTCGTGGAAGTACTTAAGCGCCAAGCAGACCTCGGCAGCGTAGAATCTAGGTGAACCGAGTCAGCATTTGCAAATCTTGACCTTTACCCAGAACAATACATACTGTGCCCTCTTAAGACCGAATTGGCCACGCTGAATGTGCAACATGAGATCACCACCACTGATGTACTCCATGACGAAGTAGACACGGGTTTCGGTCTGGAAACAGGCATGCAAGTTGAGAAGGAAGGGGTGACGTTCTTTGTTTGCAATCAAGAACACACGCTTTTCGGACTTGGTGCTCTCTACTTCATCGTTTTCTATGATGAATTCCTTCTTCAGTACCTTGATGGCATATAGCTTGCGGGTGCTCTTGGTTTCAGCCAGCATGACCTTTCCGAAGTTACCCTTTCCGAGAACAGCAAGGAAGTTGAAGTGATCCAATCCAATGCGAGCCTTGGCCTGTGTTAGAGCAGCATCATCCTTAGTAGGCGGTGCAACTTGTTGGGGGATCTGCTGCTGTTGCATAGGCTGCGGCGGCGGTGCCATCTGATAAGGCGAAGGCTGAACCTTTTGCATGGCTTGGGGTGGAGGCTGCTGCGGGAAGTTGGCATAAGCAGATGGGTCATAGTGGGCATGTTGGGGCTGCTGGGGTGCTTGAGGCGGCATAGGACGGTTCATTTCAGCTGTGATCCAAGTATCAATACAATAATCCCAATTAAAGAGATAGGTTATGCATACTTGGTGTTTGCTGGGGGCTACGCATCCCAGTAGCGGCGGCGGCGGCAGCGGCGGCGGCGGCAGGTCCCGTAGGAGATTTGGGAGGCAACTGTTGGCGCTGTGCGGCCTGTGCAGAAGCTGTTGGTGACTGTGGTGTCACGAAGGAGTTAGTGGCCGCGCTTACCGCTTCAGCAGAGGGTTGTCTTGGAATAGCCCCGTAGGGGCCTTCCATTGGTTTCTGGGGATAGGAGAGGGCAGCATTGTCTTGAGGGGGCTGCGGCGGACCGCTTGGTCGAAGGGTGCGGTTGCTAAGACCGGAACTGACAGAAGCAGACTTGTTGTGATTCTTGGCGCGAATCAATGTTTCTAGAATTTGGTTGGCCGCTTCCATCGACATGCCACAGAAATCGGGCACAAGGTGAGTGCAGTGAGCGTGACATGTGAGATCGCACTCTATGTAAAACAATTAGTATATACCAAGCACAAGATGCATCCTCGTGATATGCCTACCAGAGCATCGCTTGGCATTTTTGCGCCCAAAGGGCAGCAAATAACCACAGTGGCAACACCAGTTGGCGGAGATGTTGGAGAAGCCTTCGAAACGATGGGGGATGCGGTGGTTGATTTTCTCTTCGTCCGGATCGGTCTCGTAGTTGGCCTTGCTGATACACTTGGTGACAACCTTGGAATAGCACTTTTTGTGACAGGTATACTTGCAATCCGCACATTGCATGCCTGCGGCATACTTGAGGAATTCTCCACAAAGCGCACAGCGCATAATGTTGTAGAATTGCTGCGTGACGAACTTGTGACCTTGCTTCTCGTGGACCTCTTCCTTCTTTTGGCGCACGGCACCTTGACGATTAAGACCGATGTCAAAGGGACGGCGGTCCTTCAATTGTTTGGCTGTCCAAAATTAGTATATGAAAACGACTTGGCGGATGAAACTCGTCTTACCGAAGCTCATCTGGAGCTGAATCCGTCCAACGGGTTCCAGAGCAAACCATGAATCGATCATCACAGTGGGAGGGACATTCGAAACCTCCCCACCATGGTGTCCGCCATGGCCTGAGGTACCCGGTCGTCCAGAGCCGGGGCCATGGGAAGAGCCCTGAGGGGATCCAGGATGATCATGTCGAGGCGATCCGCCATCTGCCATCTTATCGGCAGATACCCAGCCAGATGCGTTGAGTTCCGTCTCGATCTTCTTGCGACGCATTTCCTCTGCAATGTCGGAAATTCGCACCCAAAGCATACCGATGGGTGTGGGGCGATCTCCCGACTTGTCGTAAACGGTCAACTCGATCTCGTTGGCCTTGTCAATATCCATGGAGAATGATTCGTCCAACCATCTATCGTTACGTGTCGCTTTGGTTTTCCCCTTGACCGTGTCTTCTACTTTGACGACGACATATGTCTCCGGGCCTCGAGAAAATCGCGAACTGGCGGCGTGGTCCACATCCTTGACCGCGTGGATGCGCATTGTTAAAAGACCTGTCAGCGGCTTGCGCATGTTCGGGCTGCTTAAACTCTCATCTGTGCCACTAGTCAGTACGTCGGAGCCATCATTATTCCCAGGCTAGCAGTGTTTTGCGTACCATCTGGTGAATCGGCGGTAGGGTCAATGTCGACATGAAGATCCTCATATCGCTTCAGCGCTTGCTTCAATAGCTGAATCTTTTGGTTGCTCTCAATGCGACGGCCCTCGGCATCGGCACGACTCTTTCGGTCGCCCTCGTCCTGGTATAAGCGCACCATCTTCTCGATACCAGCCTTGTATTGTTTCTCAACACTCAACTTGAACTCCAGTTGGGACAGCATGAGTTGAATCTTCGGCCCGAGGTATGCAGTGTCATACTTGATAAGATCTGAGACATATCCATTCATGTCAGCATTCCGAACAATTTTAAGCTCAACGCAACATTTTTGAGGGGGTTAAATCTGCATCTCGGATCACGATCCGACGTACCTAGCTTTGTGTAATTGGGCCTGGCCTTCGGGATCGGGGCGAAAGGTCGGGGGTCTGGGAATGGAGCGCCGGAGGGCATCGAGCCAGAACCACCCTGGGGGTAGTTGCGGCCATCGCCATAGTCGCCTTCGCCAGAGTATCCGGGGTAATCCTTTGGTGGGGGAGCCGGGCCTCCGTGCGGGTGACGCTGGCTGGGCGAACCACCATCCTGCTGCATGTGACGAATCTGCAGCTCTCTCATCTTCTCCTCCAGGTAGGCGATATTCTTGCGGCCATCGCGGATGTTGGCGTCGACTCTCTGTTGCACGAGGGGGTTGTCGGTCGACTGCCGCATGTTACTGGCAGCGGTGATAAGGGCCTTCTCCCGCTCGATCTTGTGGGCGACCGAGGCGATCAGCTCGTCCCCGTCCATGATGGCTGAGGGTAAAGAGCGAGGGCGAGAGGGTAAGGTGTTGTGGGTGGGAGAGGGTTCCGCGGGGCTGTTGTTGACAAGGGGCGCAACGGGCACGGGTAATGCCACTTCGGAAAATGTGAGACAATCTGCCCGCAATGATCGCCCACTTGACTTGCACCAATTTAGAGGGTTTCTAGTACTTTCAAAAGAGATGAAAAGATATGAAAGAGAATGGACTATCCAGATTACCAATTTCTGACCATTTTCAAAGGTGTCCAGCCCATCACAGGCCTAATCAGTGGCGAAAAGTATATTACAGACAGCTGCGGGCACGTGAAGGGCTCTTTCTCTTATATTTCAGTGTCAACACTTAACTCTCTGTACCCTTTCATCTTTCCTATTCCCAACCTCTACAG